TAGTGGTGGTGTCTGAGGCAGGAACCTGCGCGGAGGGAAACGGGGAAGGATTGGGGCGTTTTGACTTAAACTTTGAAGGGACGTGGACCGCTTTAAGGACGGCCCTCCTGTCGCAAGTTTTCAAGTTTAAAAGGCGCCGGGGCTCTTCCTCCTGCTGTGGTGGCTTCAGGTGTCACCTGACGTTCTGCATTTGTTACAGTTAAAAGTTTTCTCTCGTCGTTTCGGCCCTGCTTTGCTGGTTTGTGTTGGTTGTTCACTGAGCAGAAGTGGAGGAAGGAAAAATTACATAGCATTGTAGGCCTCGTGGCACACACAATGAAGCGGAAAAAAGCCTGAAGTTCGCTTATTTGATTGGGGTTAATTTGAAGTTGATAGAGTACCTCTGAGACCTCGCCTACACAGAATCGCGCTGGGTTTGTTTGCACTGGTAGTCAGGGCAATAACCTGCTTTTCTTTTCATCGGAACAAGTGCATTTCCACATGTCACTCTTTATGGTCAAATTCTTGCTAGGTGTAAACCAGACTTACATTTGATTTGCATGCCACTCCTACGATATCCTTGTAGCATAGAAGATGACAAGGCTCGTGAGTGCCTTGAGGTTGTCTTACTAGGATCTTGACATCAGTGCTCTGTTTTTGTGAACAGTTGGCTTGAAGTTGCTGGAAACCTCCTTGCACGTTTTTCACCTGAGGTAGAAGGAACAATGTATTCACGTTGTTAATTATAAGGGACAGTTTGTTCACTTTTTTGCATTATTAGCAGTTTTAGTCCTTCCTGTTTCTGAAATGAACAGTTGGCTTTATGGTTAGTGGTGAACAACACAGTGCAGATGGAGGCTGGTGAGAGAGAGAGTGGCTACTGAACCAAAGTTCTGCCTAGAACTGTTTCATTGTCAAGTGAATCAACTGTTAACACATTAGTGTTTTATGTGAGAGGGCTGTGAAGAGGATTTTGTTACAGTATCAGGACCTTGATGTGCAACTACCTTTCAACTACTCTCTTCTTTTTTTTCTTTTTTTTTTTGCCTTAATGTTTTTAAACAGGTTACGTTTAAAAGAAAGTTTCTACTGTGTACCTCTGTGGTGTCCAAGCAGCTCATCTGTTGATACTTCCTTTGTAACTCCATTATAAAACAGCTTCTGAGAGTATCAGTTTGGTTACCACATCCAGAGGTCACTTTTGAGAAAATGTGGACTGCTAAAAGTCTTTGTAGTGCTCAAATACTGTTGCTTCGGTTGAAAGAAGGCGGATTGTGTAGTTGCACGTTTCCAAAAACTCAGCAGTTCTGGATTGGAATTCTAAACTATTGCACCATAAAAGCGCCACATAACAGAGTTAAATTCCAGGTAAGTATTTTTGTGGTGCTCTAGGAATAAGTAATGTGCATCAATACAGTGATAATAGTGTTTCTTTTAGAATCTACAGAGCTAAGCTTTTGATCTTGCAGTAAAAGATCAGAAGAAGTAAAGATGCCTACCAAGGTAAGGGGCAGGCAGCAAGCAGTTGCAGGAGAACCAGTGTTTCAGAATTGACTTTTTGTGTCTGATAATTCTAAGTTGGGGAGAAACATTAATTTTTTCAAATTGTACTTCAGACAATACTGCACGATAACTGGCAGGCTTATTAGTTAGAGTGACAGCTGTTTAGTGAAGAATAGGACCCGGGTTCTCTGGAAAACTTTTTACTAATGCAATATTGCATAAAAAAGTGTGGGGAAAAGGTCAATTTTTATTGGATCTGCAACGGAGGATAAAAACATAGGAGTTTGATTATTAAAAAAAAAAACTGGTTGTAAACAAAAATAGTGGGAAAGGACACAAAATTAAGACTAATTTTGGACACTGGCAGTTCCAAATGACAGTGTTTTTCTAGATGTCCAATTAAGTTCATCTTTAAAATATAAATTGCTGCATGCACTTTATAAATATTGGGATATTGTGATTTGAGTTAGTTCAGGGGGGCTAAGCAATTGAGAAATTGATCTAGATGGTTTTACAACTATTTTAATTGACTTTATTAATCTGTTTAAGAATAAATTATATTCATCTTGTATTTGCCTGTTGTTTCTCTTTTAAATAGTAATATTTGACTGTATGATTGTAGGTTTCCAAGGTAAATGATAAACGATCAGTAGTAGATACAAGAATGGCTTCTAGTGCAGAGGGAACTAAAATAGCTTCTGGAAAAAGTCCCAGTGGAGTATGTGATGGAAGCCAACATTCTTTAGAAGGTATGGAACATTTTTGCCACCCCTTTCTTAAGAAGTCAGCTTTCCCCATCTTCTCTAGACATCTTGTGTTAGTGACCAAGATGGTCTAAACTTAATTTGAAAGTTTTGTATCATGTCATGTGTTTATTTTGTAATTTCAAGGGGATTATTCACAATTTTTATAGTTTGCAAAGACTCATTTAATTTTCTTGAGTGTCTTAATGGCTGATTGGATTGTGTACTGATTATTTTGTATTGTTATTATTTTAATTTCTTTTTCTTCAACTTTATGAAATTCTTATAATGTTTATTCCACGTGACTGTATAGATGCAAAACTTGCTTATCCTGTTCTCTTGCTAGCAACTGTGGTGGCTCTTAAGTAGAGTACAGTCTATTGGATGGGTTATTGTTTTGTGTGAGCCTATTTTTGACTAGGAGAATCAATATTCACTGAAGGCTACGAATAGTCTGTGATGCTAGTAAACTTTTTTTTCTGTTATAAACATGAAAAAACAATTAAACATTCCTTTGTGAGTGGTGATTTCTGATTCAGGTAAATTAGTAGTTACAGTTATGACCTTTATTTTAGCAATGCTTCCTAGCTAAACAGTTCTTTCCATAACTTTGTTTGTTTTGTCATTCCTATCTAGTAACTAATTCTCAAATGTGCTTTTATACATCATACATTTTAGCTCCTCTGCTTCAGGGTGCTTGGTCATTCACATTTTATGTATATTTAATTTCTGTTTGTAAAGGTTTTTTAGTCAGTTGCTTTGGGCATTTTCAGCTTTTGTTTACAAATGGGATGACATGGAGGTAGTTATGACTGGTTAAGACACTGAGATCATATACTGTTTATATAATTACATTGCTCAGGAAACAGCAGCATGAGAAACTGTTGTGCTATTTCTTGTGCATGACAATCAGGAGGACAGTACCTATCCTGAAAAAGCTGTATTGTACTATATTGTAATTCTGCTGTACAGCCTTGTCTCCTTATGTACATTCTTTTGTAAGTTTGCGTTACAAATGGATGAGATACTACTGAGTAGTCAGACGTGCCCTCCCCCAGCATATTTGTAATCACCAGTGAATCCTTGTTTCACAGATGCAGGTATCTTTTAAAAAGAACTCTTAGGTTTATGTTTATTCCTGAATGCTCCTGCACTATCAATGAGATTGAACAGCCCCAGTACCCTTCTAGTTTCTTCTTGTACTTATCTTTTCTTATGCTTTTGTAGTTTTTCTTGTAGACAACAGAAGCATACTTATCCCCTTAGCCAGTTAAAATCTTCGTATTTTGAAATTTGCCAATCACGTAAGAGGTTTTTTGAAAAGCAGGGGCAAAAGCATGTCCTATTTACATGAAATGTACTTGTGCATCATTTAAGATTCAAAGAAATTTTTTCTTAACATGACAATATGATAACTTTGAGTTAATAGACAATATCTTTAATAATCAGAACTTACATTAAACCCACTAAGAATATTTGGTCTGAAGTCTTGTGCAACAGGTGTTTTGTACCCTTTCTAATACAGTAAGATTTCTGCTGTTTGCTCAGGCATCTGAAAAAATGGTCTATATCCAGATGTGATTGTGCTGCCATTTCTTGTACTCTGTAAGAAATTGGCAGGGAATATTCATACTGTAGACTTAATTAATTTTCTCTGTATGTCCTCTTGGGAGTTGTTATAACTCTACTATTCTTTTTGATCAAAAGAGCAATGATCTACCAGATCATCAAAGCAAAAGACATTTTTGAATCATACTGTCTCTGAAACACACCATTCTAACTTGCAAATCAAGTGTTGCCATGATACATTTGGAAGAATCAAAAGAAATAGGAAAGCTTATATTATCATACAAGTGAGTATCTTGGTTTCCTATTTCTTGCTTTTCTGATTTTACAGAACATTCATCTAATAAGTGCTTTCTTATCTTTTCCTTTTACTCAAAGATTACTTTGGAAGGTGAAATGACATTGCTTAAGTGCACCTGTCAAGCAGATAGCTCCTTCTAGAACCATCATTCTTATTCAGCTGTATCATCTTTGTAGGTTGAGCGCTTTGTTACAGATTTGTTGTAAGAGGCCTCCAATGTACAGAACCTCCCCGTGGGTAGATGCATAGTGCTGAATGAAGATATTAATATTCTGGTGTTTCTTCTCTATAGTGCTGATTATTTGCAATAGTCTACTGATTTTAATATTCTGAACAAATGAAAGAAGACCTGATTGTTTCACCCAGCAACAGGTATTAGCTATCACTTAGGAGCTAAACAGTACATGATTTTTCAATTAACAACTGGATAAAGCCCTGAGCAACCCAATTTGATCTGATAGCTGACTTTGTTTTGAGCAGAAGAAGGTTGGACAAGAGACCTCCTGAATTATTCTATGATTCAAGGAGTATTTTTGCTCTAATTATTGGCCCACTTTTAGGGTTGTTACATGTATGTGCAAAAGACATTTCTCAGTCATGCAGCTAGATGTAACCACTGGATCTGTCATTTGAACCTGAATGTCATTTGCCAGTTAAAATTGATACTGTGATAAATACATAATTTAGACCTGGGAACTGACCCTAATTGATAAAAATGCAGTGACTTGATAACGCAGCCATGCTCTTGGGCAATCTGTAAAACAGTTCTGTATTGCATGCCATACAAATCCAGTGGTTCAAGTACTTCTGAGATTTATTTTTAACTGCTCTTTCTATTGTATTTATTTCATCTTTTTGGACTTGAAATTAGTCTGCTCTTAACAGAGCAGCATTCTTTAACAGTATTCCTCTACTTGAAATCTTAGTGTTCTTTTTTCTTTTTGCATGTTCATCTCTCACTGAATCCTTTTGTCAGTCAAGAAACTGTTGTGAATACTCACTCAATAATCTCCATCTCTTGGGTAGGGGAATGAAGAAGAAGTAAGAGAAGTATGGGATATAAGTGTTAAGAAATTAACTCCCATCAAAGAGTGAATGCCATGTATCCAGACACCCAAGAGAACAGTGGTTACTCACAATAGCTGATAATTAGATAGGAATGAAGCTCATAGACGAAAATAAAGCTTCCTTATGAAGCCTTGTAAGAGAAGGTATGGACATCTGACTTCAGTCAGTGTATTTTCAGTAGGTTTTGATCTGAGAGTCAAGTAATCTCTTCAGTTCACATAACTTCCTTTTCTGTTCTTCTCACTTTAAAGAATATGTACCAGCTGATTCTTCATGCACTGAAGTGTGATTGTCTTCTACATTTGTAGGGATTTTTTTTCTCTTTTTAAAAAATTTCTTTAATCTGAAATTTCTTGCTGTAATTGTGCTTTAGGTACTCTTTTTAGTTTTCATCTTTTTTTTTTTTTTTATTTGTGAACATATAAATATTTTCCAGCAGGGAGAGATACCTTTCAGAATGCTTTGTAGATGAGCCTTGTAGAAGAAGGTTTAGAAGATGTATATATGCATGTACATATGCTATTTTTATTTAAATAAGCTTATTATCTTACACTTGTGTTTCTTAGTTACATTTCATAGGTCCTTTAGATGTAATTCTTGGGATTTTTGAGCTCTTAATTTGCTTGTTTATTTTCTGACCAAGCAACTATGTAAATGTGGTCCTTACTTCATACGTTTCCCATTAGTAGTGTCTTCAGACTGAAATCTCTTTTGGAGGAAAATGGGAGTTAATTTTTCCATGCTTGTCTTCCTACTTAATAATGCAGTTGCTTTAACCAGCTTCACCTTTTATGTCAGTGGCCCATGATGCAAATGCATCTTTGCTTCTAATTTGTAGAAGGCGTGGAAACAGCTGCAACAGTTGGTTAAACTACTGTGAGTTTAACTAGCCTGAAAGAAAGCACATCATGGCATCGTACTTCAAAGTCTATTTTAGTTTTTTTCCACTCTACTAAAAAAATCTTTAAAGTAGAATTGTTTGTTGTTTTCCAGTAAAATCTTGAGTAAACTTTTTATCTTCTATGCAGTACAGTGATTTTTCTTTGAATTAAAAGATCCTTTCTTTTTAAAAGTAGTAACATGCTTTATCATTTGCTTCATTGCAAATGCCCGCGTTTCATACTGTCACAGTAACAGTCGACCTGAAATCCCTTCTATCAGTACAAATGTTTTAGCTATAAGTTACAGGTGTTCATACCTACGAGCAGATATGCAAATGTTTCCAATGTAAAGGGGTAAAGAGCACTACTTATGGTAGTGTAGTGCTTTAGCACCATGTCTGATGCACCAAACAGTGTTCAGTATGCCCTGGCACTATGAGATGTGTGCACATGCATGATCTCTCTTTCTCTCACTCCTTTTTTTTTTTTTTTCCTTTTTTCTTTTTTTAGGGGAAAATAGTAAACCTGGTTAGATATGATCATGGTGTGATTTTAATCATGTTATGGGCTAAGGAGTTGAGTTTAGCACGTCTTTTTATCTAGTGGTTTTGAAAGGTGTTTCTTATCCTTGTCTTTTCTGCTCTTTCCATTTCTGAGCTGAAGAGGCAACTAAACCAAAATATATTGCTGTGCCTGTTTGCCTCTCTCTATCAGAACTCACACCACAGTGTCTGTAGATGATTTCTAAAAGAAACATCTCATCCACTATCTCATTTTGAACCAGAAAAACGAAGTATAGTCCTGACTATACTGATTTATTTTTTTTTAGTCTTATTCATATTGATGTGTACCCAAATATACTTGGAGTTTATTTTCAATTCAATACTAAGATAATCTGTACAATAGCTTGTATATCTTTACAATATAATCTGTGGACTAGCTTGCTGTCGTAATTGTCTTTATTTGCAGAAACAGAAGAGCTAATAAAATGTACATACTTTTTTTTTTTTAATAGACCACCCCTAAGGATCTGAACTTATGCTCCTGTGTGTGTGTTTTGTTAGATTTGAATTCTATTTTTGACTCATTCAGAGTTTGTGTCTTCTCAAACATTTAGTGCTTTGTATTTTACTTTGATGGTTTTTTATTCCTTCTTAATAGTAGCAATGATATGTTGTGTGTTTTTCTTTTCTAAATAAGAAAAGACTTCAAATAAGAATTTTTCTATTAATGATTCCTAATAATACTGGTGAGCAAATGACTTCCAAGGGTGAAGGAAAAAATTGTTTTCTTAAGGAATTATATTGGGTTCAAGGCTATGTGTGTAAGGGGAGTATAATGACACAGTAGACAGCAGTTTTATAATTATTTTGATTTTTACTCTAGGTGGCTAACAACGTTGGCTCTCCAACAGTGTTCTTTTATCACTTTTGAGTAGCTACTTTCGTTTTTTATTTCTTTGACAGATTAGATCAAAATGTGCAGTTATATTGTATATAGACATGTATATTTCTTGATTGAAAAGGGGATTTGTGCTAAGGAGTATTTTAGAGTTGTTTTCAATTTTGGAGATGCTAAACTAATTGCTACTTGTTTGATGTATTTAGTAATCAAAGGTTTTTGCTGTTCTTAAATAAACTGTTTTTTTTTTTTTTTTAATATAGGTATAGTATATTATGTGTTCCATGCCAAAAGAATAGATGTATATTATAAGAAAAAAAATATCTGATCCTTTTTCTGACTGTGAAACTTTATTTCCACAGCAAAAATGAAACATATCAATCTGTCATTTGCAGCCTGTGGGTTTCTGGGAATTTACCACTTGGGGGCAGCAGCTGCTTTTTACAGGCATGGTAAGAAGTTACTGAAAGTTGTGAAAGCTTTTGCGGGAGCTTCAGCGGGATCACTGGCTGCCACTGTCTTATTAGCAGTACCAGAAAATATAGAGGTAAATTAATAAACTTGTAGGTATAGGACATGATCATTTTAAAAGGATATTTTTGATGTAATCATCTACCATTAAGTTTTCTTAAATATTTTCGTTCTTGTGTTTTTTCTTGCGTCTTGTAAAGGAACAGAACTTGTGTACGCGTTTTCATTAACAAAATCTGTGACTTATGGGCAGAAATGTTTATGAAGCAAGTACTTCTTTATGACAAAAGTCTGTCATTCAACCTTTATATTTTAAGCTATGTAGGTACAAATTTCATGTGTGTGAATGTTGAGTTGTATGTAACCGGGTGTACTTTAATATACTAAAGTGTATATGCACTTAATCACTGTGCATTACAAAGTTAATTATTGTTTTCTTGGCTAGAGGTAGGCTTTGTTAAGCAAATGCATGGCACCATCCTTTCATCCTTTCATCCTTTTGTCAAAGGAAATGAAAATGGTAGATGGGCTATATCTTCATAAAGTCAATGAACACCACAGACCGGCTCAAATTTTTGCCGCTGTCCGTGCTCCATTAGACAGCACAAGAAGTGGTTTGTGCATCTCCTCCAGACTAAGTACAGTTCGTGACTTAGCAGCAGTAGCCACACTGTACGCCCGGGTGGATTAACCCTCACAGCATTCAGTTGCAACATGCTGCATACGTGTGTGTTTGGGTTTTTTTTTTTCTCCAGAGATGCTACCCTTTTCTCACCATGGATATGGTGTCATGTAGAGACAGCAAAGTGATATTCAGTGACTACTCTGTTACAACTTCTGTGGGAAGTCATTGGCTTTTTTTTCGCCTTAGTTTCGCCTTTGTTTTTCGCCTTAGGTTAAGGCTGCTTTGCCCTCCTGAAATGCCTATAGTGACTTTGCCTTAATATATGTAGAGGACTAGGCCTTGCCAAAATGTTAATATTTCTTTAATATTTTTAATTATAATAAACAGCATTATCGAGGGTTGGGGGGAAAGGCAGCTAGATTTTTGTTCTAAAACACTTAAGGTTTCATTCCAGTGAGCATCAGCTAATTTTCTCCAGGCCTCTCTTGTTAGAACTTGCATTGCATTTGATTCAAACAATAGTCCCAGCCAGTACCATACTTTGCCACTGATCTTTCTGTTTGTTTCTGCTGTGATATGAACTTAGCTTGCAGTTAGCTATACTTCTGTTGCTTTCAGCAGTTAGGTTCTTCCCTGGCCTCCTTCCATCCCACCACCCCCAGGTGCATTCTTTGTATGATTTGGTATTAGGAAAGTTCCACTCCATTGTGAAGAGAACCTTGTATTCTGTCCAGGTGTTACTCCTTTTTTTGTAGCCTCTGTCTAGTAGTTCAGTTTCAAGTTTGCGTGGTATAATGCATACCTCTGACTTTAATTTCCTCTAGGGTGAGTACAGCAGCTAGCCTTTTCTTAGCCTGAGGAAATTCTTCTGCTTAATCTAGGCTCTGGGTCTGAACATTTGTTCCCAGCCTGGTCCAACTTACAAAAATCTTTCTAGGTAAAAATATTACAAGAGGTTTTATTTTTCATGTTTGTGGAAACTAAGCCTGTATTACATTGGGTCTGATGGATTTTTCCTGGAAAACACATTTTAATACAAACTGAAGAATGTTCTGTTATATCGTTTAAATGGATAATTGAGAGGTATTTGGGGGGGGAATAATTTTTCTTAAGTCTCATAGAATTTAAGTAAAGGCAGTGTTATGTATTGAATAGAATTAACTTTTCACATCAGGATAATTATAGTATTACCTGTCTTAAATTTCTAACTTGAAATATTTTATATCCACAAATATAACTCTTACATCAGTTAATTTTTTTATTCCCCCCCCCGAGAGGGCTATGTTAGACAACCTATAATTAGGACTTTCTCCATCTACCAGTCTCAAACCTCTAATACAGCATTTCCTTATTTTGGAGAAAATGTAACACTGAGGGTTTCTTGTTTTGACTGTTGCTGTTCTAATATGACAGTTTGCAAATGTTTTTCAGTTGTATCTTGGATTTTTGTCACTGTTGAAAAAGCACAGGACTTCAGAATTCTAGGGAGGCTTATAGAGTTATAGATAAGTACCTATTTGTTTCAGAAGTACCTTGATCATGTTTGATGTCAAGTTTGCTTGACTCAATACAAGCAGCTACAATTTCTAAACATGTCCTCAGTCACTATTTAAAATTTAGATGTATTATTTAATGCTTCTAGCAATAAAATTATGAAGACTTTGTAGCTGTAAGAAGTTGTCCTTCTGGCAGCAAGAATTGAGAGTCTAGTTATAGTCTATTCTTAGTACTTGTAATACGGAAACTAGTTTTCTGCCCTTCACCTAGGTTTGGATTCATCTACCTCTCTAGTTCCCTATCACTTTATTAAAGCATTTTAGATACAAGGACAGTAGTTTTCAGGTGCTTCTATGTAGGGTTTTGTGGGTTTCTTTCTCCCTCGAAGAGGGAGAGGTGTCTGAATATGCCTCTTTCCAACTGTTTGACTACAGAAGAAGCCTAACTGCCTAATGTAGAATAAATTCAAGACGCGTGGTGCATGTAACTAGTTTTAAATATTTGAATTGGCTTGGAACTGGTAGTGGCAAGCACCTCCTAGGGTAAAGGCACAAGTCTAACCTATGTGGAATGAATTAGCACAAATCTTTACAGTGATTGCTGCTTTAAGAGGTATGGACCTCTTAACAAACCTTTTTCATACATTTGTCAGAAGGCCATACAGAGAAAGTGGATGCAAGAACTACATTTCTGTCTTTCACCTAGGTGTGACTGCTCTGTCGTACAAATGATGTGAGGAGGTTAAACTGCTCCAGACAGCTTGCTCCTGATCTCATACTAATCCTCACTCCAACCCTTTCCTATTTTTCCATCCATTGAATCCTTTTTCCATCCATTAAATCCTGTTCCCTCCTCCTCAATAGGACTCATTCACTTCTCTTTTTCTTTTTTTTTTTTCTTTCTTTCCCCAGTCAAGTCAATAATTTATTTTGTTAGTAACAACATATTTGTTCTTCATGCAGGAAGCTCATAAGCCAGGAACCCCAAACTATCTATAGATAGATTTTTTATTCTGTAAGCATGTGGTTAAATAAGTGAATATAAGTATAATGTATTTATTGAGTACCAATTTCAGAAAGTTGCATAAGATTGGATTTCATTTTTTTTCAAGTCCCTAAAATCATTAGAGAAGTCTGCATGAAAGGATAAAAAAAGGAATACGAATAGCAAGTAGTGAGTCTTAAGCATTCAGAATCATTGTTTCAGAATCATTGCTACAAAATAAATGCTACCTATTGTTTTATTCTTCTTTTGGAGTTCTTATGGCTCACACTTTAAGGTATTTTTCTGCAGTTGTTAATGCTAGGCATTTCAGCTTTCATAAAAGAGGTTCTCTGTGCAGTGGAATCTGTTGCCTGGTTTTCTACAGGTGTATTTTCTTCCTTTGTCTTCCATTGTAGTATCCCATTCAAGTAAATACTTCTATTATTCATTAAATATGTGTATTTGTTAGTAGCATGGTTTTTGCATTAGTAAGAAGAAACTGTAATAATTGTAGGGGTTTTTTAATGCTTATAGGCATCTTAAAGTACTTGTGTCTGGTTTTAGTACTGAAGTAGTCTTTAAAATAAAAGGTGGCTTTACACTTGAAATATAGATGATTGTTCTTGTAATGACATGGTCCAGAGAACTGATTATTTAGCAGTGGTTATACATAGAAAAATGGCCTTTAGCTTTCCTTGATTGTTAAAGTGGTATTCTTATGAGGGTTTGTTATTATTATTATTTTTAATTGGGGGTCTTGTTTTCTTACAAATTAGTTCTTATAAAAAGGATCAACATTTTGTTATGCATATCTTGTTAGAAACCCAGCACATACAGGAAAATATTTTAGTCTGGTCTTATAACGCTTTCTTGATTAAAGCTTTAGCTGCTAGTATTTTTTAGATACCATAGCTGAACATACTTCTCGTAGCTAAAACATCCTTAATGGTGAATATTTTAATTTGCAGAAGTGTAAGCAGTTTGCCTATGGATTTGCAGAGGAAGTTAGAAAACTGGACTTCGGTGCTGTAACACCTGGTTATGATTTTATGAAAACACTTAGGTACCTATCTTAATGCATCTATAAGATTGTTTTTGTGTGAAGCTGTCTTAAATAAGAATGGAGAGTGTGTATATTTTTTTTCTGTACTGTGGGAAGCTCAGCACTATTTGACCCCTAACTTATTTGCAAGGTTTTTAGATAATGATGGTGAATAATGTTTAGTATTTCCTTTACTCTAGGGAAGGCATAGAGTCTATTCTTCCTTCTAATGCTCACGAGATAGCTGAGAACCGGCTCTATGTCTCAGTCACGAACACCAAAAATGCAGAAAATCACTTGGTTTCAAGTTTTGCTTCCAGGGAGGACCTCATTAAGGTAATAAAATTGAATATTACTGCTTTAAATAGAAGTGCTTGAGTTTCTTCAAGGTTTAGGAGTATGTTATTAGCTGTACAATAAATCACTGTTTTACTCAAGTAATCACTTATACTATCAGTGGTGCTACAACCGTGCCATAAACAATGGAAAAAGAATTTGATCCTACAGTTTCACAAATTTTGCTAAAATTTATTTTTGTGTGTGTTTCTTTCACCTGTTTGTAAATGACTACCTTGTAGGCAAAGTCTGTTTAAAAAGTAACAGAGTAACTAATGGTTACAGTAGATGAGAATAAAATAGAGGACTTCCAAATTTTGTAACAATTTGTAGCGTCTTTTTGCATCTCTTACTTCATTGGTCCCATTTATATTGTGTTTCGTCACAAGAGAAAGTAAAGAAAAGAAATTTCCTGTCTTAAAAAAAAAATAAATAAATCCAGCACTTTCTGCAAGTCCTCACAGGGAATAGATATAATGTAATGTTACATACCATATATAAACTGTATTTTAACTGTCACTGGAAAGCATATGTTTTATTGCCCATCTCTTTTCTTTTGAATGCCACTTGTTCAGTGATTGATCAAGATTGTATACATAAGCTGATATACAATGGAAGGATGAGTTCAGATGCATGTGAAGCAAATGTTCTTTCTAGTAATTGATTATATCTTAGTGGAGGATGGCATAAGGTACAGCAGAATAAAGGAGGAAATAGAGTAAGAAGGGTTTCCTTCTCTCCCTGTCCTTGTGGATGCTTACAGTAAGAAATTCCTTATAATTAACACTTAAAAAAAAATCAGTTGTTAACAAAATCTCAAAGTATGCATTGGAAGTTTGCCTTTAAAGTATCATTTTTAAAAAAAAATCTTGACCCGTTATATTCTACACAATCAATCAGTTCTCAAAATTTGTAGGACTTAAGCTTTTTGCATAATTACCTTTGCATGATTATCTCAGATTATGCAGTGTTATTTCTAGCTATGGTAGCCAACAGTGACAAGCATGGAGACTATTATTCTGTAGGTTTATGGTTTTTTGCAGTGGAATCTTCTAACCTGAAGACAATTAGAAGCTTCAAGACAACATTGGAAATATGTATATTTTGTTAGAATTTTGATAGTTTTTTCATTGCCTTCACCATTTCTGTTGTATTCTTTTGTTCCATATGCTAGCAGTGGAATGGGTTGGAATAACAGAAATAAAATTCAAAATAATTGCACATCGAAATACATTCATGTTGGCTGTTCTTTCAGTGCATCTCATTATTAATATGTGCTTTTGTGCATGCCTTCAGCTATGCCTGTATCATTTACACAGCAGTCTGAATGTGGGTGGCTGCCCCAGTAGCATGGAGGATAGAGCTTCTTAGGTTATATGAGTGTATTACACCTCTCCTAGGCATGATCTACTGTATCCAAGGCATGGATAAAGATACTGCTGGGCAGATGATGTTTTATAGCAGCAAAACTTCCGTACCCTCTGCCAGAAGTCTTTCAACTTGCATATGCAGTTGGTTTCAATGCTTAACAAGCCTTATGGTTCCAAAGTGTTTTGTACCGACTAAACTGAATGTGTTGCTACAATTTTGAACTCTTACTTTCTTTTGCTATTCCCAGTGAACATGGAAAGTCAGTTAATAATCTCCCACTTTTGAAATAGTCTTTACATATGGGAAGACAATCATCGTGTACCAGCATTCCTAGACATGCAGTTCTTAAACTGGAGGTGAGGGGCAAGAGAGGCATGATTTGTATGTTTGTGAGAGAGCAGAGCACAGAACTTTTATTTAGATGACCTTTAAGGTCCCTTCCAACCTAAACTGTTCTATAATTCTATTTACTTTGAAAAAGTGGGACCAGTGAAATAGGAGTCCACACTGGTCTGTTAGTGTTAGGGAAATACTGAAAGTGTTAGTTCTTCCACTTCATCCACACATCTATCCCTTCTCTTTGAAATGCTGTATACTAATTGTGTACATATATATATATGGGTGGATACATAGGTATGGAGATACATACACACTCTCATACATAATGCTATGGGTGGATAGAAATGTATGTGTGTGTGCACGTCTGTACATCACAGAAGAGGTGTCCTGGTCTAAAAAAAAAATTTATTTAAATATTGGGAAGTGCTGTAGACAGCACATTGTAAGCTTACAATAGCGCAAATAGTAATTTGTTAATACTTGAATATACTAAATGCAAAGTATCGATACTCATAAAGATATACATGTGTGAATTTTCAGACTGTTTATACTATTTTGGAAATTTTGAATTCTTAGAAAATCTGATTTATTAGAAGAGTAAACACTATTTAAATGCGCCAGCAGAATGATTGGGTCAGCTTCTTTGACAATACTCTAGATTGCATTTTTTTTTCAGCATATGCATTTTTAGTTTCTGCAAAATCACAGATTTACTTCACATTTTGTAAAACTAAGTTCATAGTCTTTTGAATCACATTAATGAGTGAGTTAATTTGTGATATTTTGTTTTGCGAGTTGTCACTGTCAAGTCAAGAAACCAAACCCTATTGAATAGTTTTAATCATATTTTAACATACAACAAAGTAGACATTTTGAGACGACAGTGGTTTTATGTAAGACTGATTTATCGAGTGATTACTGCTACATTATTTAATATAGATAGATATGTTTGAAAGTATGTATTGGTTCAGAATGACTTTGTTACTTTTTCTTCAATTTTATTCTCTATTCTTTCTGCTTTCTTTTCTCTAGGTCCTGCTAGCAAGTAGTTTTGTACCAGTATACGCAGGAATTAAACCGGTGGAATATAAAGGAGAGGTAATTTTTCATTAAGTTTGACTGCCAACCTGTTTTTTTGTGTAAGAGCATTCTTTTATAATGTAGTTATTTGATTTTAAGGGAAGACAAGTGCAGTAATGTATTTTGTCGTATAGTTATTGTTTCTTTTGGTACTGTAGATTAATACTGTGAAAGATGACATGAGTTTGTTCATGTATATTCTTTCAAAAATTGTTGGTGCTCAGACTGAAATGATCTCTGTAGCATTAAGCTGTTTCCTAAAGATGTCTAACACTTACCATGAGAAGAAAGTTCTCTTAGTAAAGATGCTTCTCAAGACAAGCTGTGTTACGAACTCTGAAAGGTTTTTTGCAATTTTAAGGACCGCCATTCTGCTTTTCTTTTTAATGGAGGTCATAAGGGAGATCTTGGCAGATTGGGTGCTGCTGGACTACATGTGTGTGTTTGTGTTGTTCTCCTGTTCTGTACAGAATTATATGCTTACCAGGTACCTTCAGATCTCTTGCCTCTGGACAAGCATTAAAGAATAAACTTTTTTTTCCCCCCTATAGCACGTGGCTATGAAGTTTTGCGAGTTGTACACTACTATACTTGGTTTAGCTTCAAGAACTTTTTTGTCTTTCTTACACAAATTTATTAAGAATAATTTTGACTCTTTACTCTGCTTGTAATTACTAGAAGCATGAAAACAGACATTTCTTTCTGAGAAATACTTTCTTTTATTTTCTCATATGCATCCAAATGATGTCTTTAGAACATCTATAATCCTCACAGCCACCCTGCCTAAAAAACACACAAAACCATATGCATTTGTCTCTAGCAAGAGGGAGTTAGTTTGTTATGTCAGAAAGCTTCTCAGCTTTAGAATTTTGTACACAGGAATACATATCAGCTAAAATGTTTGAAGGATTTAAATCAGTGTTGCCTGACTGCTTGAGTTAAATGGAGACTGCTTGCAGCTTCCCAGGGTCTGGAAGTTTTGTTGATTGGAGTCTTTATATGTTACTTATGCAGTTCAAAGGCCATACGTGCATGTTTGACGTTAATTCTGCCAATAGTTAAAGGGAAGGAGGTGTTAAATTTCTTGTGGTGTTCTTTCAACTAAGAAATTAAAAAGTTGGCTCAGAGTTTTGTCCTAAACTTATTTAAAACCCATTTTACTGGATGAACACCACTATTACGGTTTGCCTGGGTATTGTAGTATTTACTGAAACACCTGCAGCTTCTTCTTAGAGTGGACAGTTCTTGTTCCTGCCCAAATTTATTTTTTGCATTCAAAAGTAAAATCAATGAATGTTTCATGGAAATTGGTTCTTCTGTTATTTGAAAGCTTGCTGTAATTCCCAAAGCTTCTTACTACTCTTCTGAAGTGAGATTCAGAAAGGCAGTTTCCGAGGAGAAGATTGCTTTAATTTATTGTTATTTGTTGGAATGATTAGTTTTGCATGTCTGCTCATACTCTGAAAAATAGTGCTTTTGTGGCATGGAGAATTTTTTTTTTTTTTTGTAAACTGCTGCTTATACATGAATGTGGCTTCCATTCTTTAGTCTAGAGTACTGGTGAAGTACTGGTGAGAGCAAAAACTGTAGGATCTCTATTGCAGTAATATTTTCATGGCTTGGAATAATGGGTAATGAGGCTATGTTGGGGGGTAGTAGGGGCCCTAAAGCGTGCAGTGTAGAGCCACATACATGGCATGTAACCTCATGATTCACACATGGTAAGCACTGAAGTCAATAAGATGGACTGGATACTGATTTGGCGCTGTGATGCCACCTATTGTATTAGCGTCATATTCCAAGTTTCCTGGAAGCTTTATTTTAACAGATCAAAGTTCTGCCTGTGTGCATTTACACTAGTTCCAGGGAATAAATTCCTTAGGCCATATGGTCCATGGAGCATGGAATAGAGCCTACTGTCTGCAGGACAGAAGCATTTTTCAAGAATTGGTTAATGGAATTAAAGGAATCTGTGGCATTGCATCTCTTCATTTGCGGCATATCAATGTTTTATTTTAACTGTGTAACATAAGGGGCTGTGGAGCCAAAATATTTTTGACTGAGAAGAAGTTTCTCCCAAATGCCTGAAAGAAAATAAAACGACAGAGGGCATGTCAGCCAGGAATAACAGAATCTACAAAAGTTAGTGCTTAATAAAAAGTATTGCCCTGCCCTTGGTAAATGTTTTGATTTTATTAGGGCAATAACCTAAATAATCAGATTTTTTAAAAGTGACAGAACTTTTAAGTGGTAAAATTACGAAGCTAGACTTGTGAAAGACAATAATGTCGTCTGTTAGTGCCTTTGACTTGGCTTAGACAGGGACTCCACTGTTCTTGTCATTGTAGGAATTGCAACAAAAAGCTACCTAGTACTCCAAGGAACATTGCATATAGATCAATAATAACTATGACTATTTATAGACGCATACACACAAAAAAAAGCCTCGGGGTTAGAAATATTAAGGTACATTGCATCTTTCCTCAGTTATCGCAGCACTGGTGTGATGGAGTTTGAGAAGTCTGAAGGATTGCTTTAAATGGTTTTGGAATTATTATTTTTTTTGCCTCTTTTTCTAAGGCAAAACAATTTGAATCTTAAGCATTGAGAAATACAAGTTTTGTGGAAATTGAAGGAATTCAATGGTGGATTGTGGGTACTGACATTGGGAGGTAATGCCAAGAATCGAGCTCTAAAGCGTGTTATGAAATAATAGGGTGAGAAGGGCCATGGAGACTAATGAATGGGAATATTTGTAGCTTATATTTCAGGAGCATAGCCGAAGTGTTTCTCAGGTGTTTCTTCACCTGAGAAAGTGAAGAAAAGGGTGGGGTGGAGGGACAAAGCAAGCCCTCCTCCCCCCTCCTTCCTCAAGTGGTGCTTGCTATATATCCATGTGTAAAAGAGTAAATCCATGTATCGCCAGACACGGAGATGACAGTGGAAGGAGGGGCAAGTGACAACAAAGTGTTCTGGTTGCATGAACTCAGATGCGGCACTGGGAGAAATCTATACTTACAGAATTAAGAGGAAGTTGACTTGTAAGCGAGAGGAAAGGACACATCTGAGAGGGGTCTGTACAATCAAGTGATGGACCTCAGAGAATCTCAGGGGCTTCTGGAGAGCAAACACTGTAACCTGAGGTAATGCTTCCTGTACAGCATTCACTACATTGAAAGCCAGTGTCTCGCCAACTGTTTGAAGACAGCTTTAATTTACGTGTCATAAACAACTTCCCAATAGTTTACTTTTTGTGGGAGATTTTTTTTTTTGTGACTAAGTTTTTTGCATTATTTTGCCATTTCATAGTGGTCACATATATTTCCACCTACAGCAGAAAAGCAGCCTTCTGCCTGATTGATGCTGAAGAGTACCAGTACAATTTGCCATTTGCTTGTAGTGTTCTGTGTTATTGAAACTTGAAGCTGATATCCTGGACTATTCAGTTTATCTTTGGGGAGGTCAAACCCTTAAGAAGCACTGAGGTGGATCTTGTAATATTATTTCTTACAGCATTTAAACTTGCCTAGCTTTAGGTGTCTGTAGTAGTCTACGTTATACATAGTTAATGTATGTTTCTTTTATAATTAGTGCAGAAGAGAAGAAAGTACTTTTTCAGTACAGTTCAAATCAGATGTAAATGGCTACTTTAGGATAAGGTGAATCATGTGCTAACAGTGTTTTCTCTCCCTTGTCCATAGAGGAAGTGTAGAATGACTAATTTGGCTGTAGATGTGTAAACTTCAGTGAGATGCGTCTGATCACCAGACCTCATATACAATGTCAGTGAATGCATCTAGCCAGTAGACTGATGTTGAGTTTTGGGTTGTCTCTGCTTATACTGGGATGGAATTTGGCAGTGGTCTCTGTGAAGACCAGGCTTGTGCCCCTAGTCTGCCTTTAGAACCAGGAAATACGTGGGGCTCTTCAAGAAATTAATTGGTTGCTTTTTTCTTTTTTTTTTCTTCCTCATTCTTTCCTATACTCAACTCCTGTAGCAGACTTGATGTCTTCTCCCTCTTACATGCCATATTTGTTCAGCTCCTTCCCACCTTTACCCTCTACTTTCTAGCTATTGCTGTCCTGGGTTGTGTATTTAAGAAGACAGGAGACTCAGGAAGAAGAAGAGAGAAGTCATGTTTGGTTTAGCTTGTGCAGTCAGTTTACCTGCACATACAGATTGTCCGGCTCCTAGTTTGAATCCGAGTAATGTTTTAGAGGAGTATACATTATCTGATATGGTTCACATGTAATATTAGCAATCTTCTCTTTTCATGTATACATTGAGAAAAGTTTTGCGTGGGGCATTTTGTTATTAGATCAACTAACAAGCCTTATCAATAGCTTGATAAATATATTATGAGGGTAGTGGAGCACTGGAACAGGCTGCCCAGAGAGGTGGTGGAGTCTCCCACTCTGGAGACATTCAAAACCCGCCTGGACGCTGTCCTGTGTAACGTGCTGTAGGTGACCCTGCTCTGGCAGGAGGGTTGGACTAGATGATCTCCAGAGGTCCCTTCCAACCCTAACAATTCTGTGAATTCTGTGAATTCTGTGAATTCTGTGAATCTAGCCAGTAGACTGATGTTGAGTTTTGGGTTGTCTCTGCTTATACTGGGATGGAATTTGGCAGTGGTCTCTGTGAAGACCAGGCTTGTGCACCTAGTCTGCCTTTAGAACCAGGAAATACGTGGGGCTCTTCAAGAAATTAATTGGTTGCTTTTTTCTTTTTTTTTTCTTCCTCATTCTTTCCTATACTCAACTCCTGTAGCAGACTTGATGTCTTCTCCCTCTTACATGCCATATTTGTTCAGCTCCTTCCCACCTTTACCCTCTACTTTCTAGCTATTGCTGTCCTGGGTTGTGTATTTAAGAAGACAGGAGACTCAGGAAGAAGAAGAGAGAAGTCATGTTTGGTTTAGCTTGTGCAGTCAGTTTACCTGCACATACAGATTGTCCGGCTCCTAGTTTGAATCCGAGTAATGTTTTAGAGGAGTATACATTATCTGATATGGTTCACATGTAATATTAGCAATCTTCTCTTTTCATGTATACATTGAGAAAAGTTTTGCGTGGGGCATTTTGTTATTAGATCAACTAACAAGCCTTATCAATAGCTTGATAAATATATTATACACGTATTTAGGCATTATGCCAAACACTCATTGATTAAACACTGTGTGTGCATTGTCAGTTCCTTGACTTTATGCCTCCTACTCAAGCCTGTGCACGGTATTCTGAGAAGGAAACTTGTAAGTTTTTGTGAGGGTTGGGTGGAGAAGGCAGGGACAGGAAGGATGAAGTATTCAGTTATGATCATACTGTACTAAGGTTACTTTGAAAATATTTTTATTTTCCAATAGAAGTGGGTTGACGGTGGCCTTACCAATGGCCTTCCTATCTTGCCTGTTGGAAGAACTGTTACGATTTCTCCTTTCAGTGGTCGATTAGATATCTGTCCCCAAGATAAAGGACGTGTGGATCTTTATGTTAAATTTGCAAAACAAGATATAATGGTGAGTTTCTTTGCTATTTAATAACTTCAGAAGAAGGAAAGGTAGTCGAGCAGTTAAGCTTATGCTTATTTTTAAGTTTATATTTAAGCTTATTTTCTGCTTATATATCAAGTAATGTTTTGGCATTTTCTGTTTGGCAAATGGAGTGTAGACTTTTTCTTAAATACAAGGGAAAGAAAATGTAGAATAAATTTTATCAGAAAGAGTAAAAGCATTGATCTAGTACAAAATAGAGCAAATTATCACAGGGTATTAAATGTAAATAATCTAGGCTTCCTTTAAGTATCAGCTGTATTTGGTTGGCCAGGGTGTTTATAGGGAGAAAAAGGAAAAAAAGACTTCTGTAGAATACCTCAGGAGGGGGAAACTCCAGAACATCCTGTTGTACTTGCTGAAATTAGCTGCTCTAACTGAATGTAAAATACAAGTTTGTTGTACTTTTGAAATGGTATGCAATGATGTCACCTCCTTGCTTAAGAGGGCTCATGTTAAGATTTTGAACGTTTAACACCACAACATTTTTCCAGAAATTACTTTGTTAGCTGTTACAGAAGCATTTCTGTATATTTAAATGTAGGCTAAAGCTGATTTTTATGGATGCCTTTTCAATGTTGGCGTTTCTACCTTTGCAAGCTTTGTCTCACAGACTCTTACCACAGTATTGCTTCATTTGACATGATGAAATAAAATACTGAATAGCAGTAGACCTAGCTGTCAAAAAAACTTCATTAGAAAGAAAAAAATAAAGGTTAGCAATAATTGGTAGTATTTTTTTACATTTATTTTAGACAGTTCTTAATATGTTTTCTTAATTTGAGTAATGTCATCCTAAATTGAACCAATTTCTGAATCTTTATAATGTTTCTCAGAGAGATTTTAAGCATGATAGTACTTGGTATATGTTCATAAAGCATGAGATTATTGATTCCTTATATATTGAAAAGATATGCAATTGCTTACTGTATATTTCTTGGCTGTGATTTCTGTCTAATATGTAGTGCATCTAGAGGAGGAGAAATAAGCTGGTGATTAGATTAGTTTAGAGATAGAAAATTAATTACAGAGTTACATTGCTTCCAGGGTCCTGCAAGTGCAGACTTGTGCAGAATTTCAGGCAACATTTTAAATTATTCCATTTGAAGCACCCTTAGCTTTTAGAGCTGCAAAAATGTAAACTAAGAATAAATATATTTTCAGCAATATTGTAGTCTGCATAAAATGGAAGAGTTGTGTATCTTCATTTATCTGAATTGGAATGTGAACAATTTTCTGTCTCTTTGAACCTCTTCCATCTGTTAGTGTCAGAATTTGAATAAATGCTTACTTCAAATAATGATGATTTTGATACTCTTTTTCAAAATTTGGTATGATAAAGTATGTGGCTAAAGTATTAAATTAATCATAGAAATGAAGCATTCAGAACTTTATTAAATTAATTATATTTTTAATTTTATTGTAAACAATTTAATAATGTCTTTATTCAAGAATGAAAATCTAAAATCTTTTTACACCACCAAAGTGACCAATTGAGATGCTGAGCAGTTCCTTATTTGTTGGTAATACAAGCTACGTTTGTACTTATATGTTAAAAATTGCCTGGGAATGTTCCCACGAATGTGGTGGTTTGCACTAGTAAGCTGTCAAAATATTTCCTTGCACAAGTTTAGCATGTGCCAGCTACCACTCTGCCAGGCAGTTCTGGGAATGTTCCCGAAGTTAAAATGTTTCAGAAACTTTGGGCAGTTTTACAGGCAGTCAGTCTGTCTTGGAGGCTGTGAGTTTAGTAGTACATATGCACACTGTTTGCGCCAGTTTGTCTTGGCGCTCGGCAGTGTACCTGGACGTGGTTAATTTACTAGTGTAGACATAACCATGCTGTTTTTTACATATGGCACATGAAACAGATGACAGAACAGATAGCAACACTGTCAAGTCTGGATAAGTTGCTTTAATAAACTAATTTATAGCTTCTCGCTCTGTTGCAGCTGTCTCTAGCCAACCTAGTAAGACTTAATCAAGCTTTGTTCCCACCAAACCAGGAGAAAATGGAATCATTGTACAAAAATGGATTTGATGATGCTGTACGCTTTTTACTGAAAGAAAACTGGTTTGAGTAGACGGTACTGAGAAAAATAACAAAACCTCATGGCTGTCAAAACACAGCTGTAGGTATCCTACAGAATCTAAGGATTGCTGTACCAATTCCAGTTTACAGAAATAAAAATCCCAATGGAATTGCATCTGCTTCTGCCGAGAAAGTATCGGTTGCACTCCGAAGTCCTGTATAGACAAGTCAAAATGGAATTGTACTTGCCTGGTGGTTGTCTTGTTTTGAGGAGGTTAAAGCTTAGATGCGTTTTGCTTCAGCTGAGGACTTGCTTTGTGGGATTTGTAAAAAGCTCGTGTTGTCATAATTGCAGAAAAGTCTTCTTCAGTGTTATTTGAGAGACAATTCGAGGTTGTACCATGAAAAATCACAATCTGTGTTGTTCACTTAATGCAATAGTTGTGTGCGCTATTTGGATGCTTGCAATATTGCTGATCTAATACATATCTTGCAATGTTCTAAGGATTTGAACACTTACCACTAGCCACAAGAAATAAAACATTTGCACTCTTTTACTCTGATATGTGTTATTTTTCATTTTGCAGTTTTCAGCGAATGTGGTCTTTTAAAATTTGAAATACTAGATGAAATCTGTAATAGAAATGTGGTTTGAACTGAAAAATATCTTGTAAAGAAGGGTGTAAGAAATTGTTATATTTATTATGTTTTCTTCCTCTGCTAAAATTGAATAAATATATTTTCTTGAAACTTTTGTCAAGAGTGCATTTTTAAATTTCTCGGATTGCTATAATAACCTGATTATCTGCAAAAAAAACAGTCTGTTGGAGAGAAGTTGCAGTAAGTCAGCAGGTAGTGAACTCGGACTCATGTCTCTTGTTTTTTTACCATTCACCTTGCAATGACTACCTTCAGTGGAACTTCAGGATTTCCAGTTTAAATGCTAAAATCCTAAAATTCATAACTTTATTGAAAAGCAAACAGTGGGTTTTTAAAGTGTGTTTTTAAGTTGATTTCTTAATACATAAAAAAACCCTAACCAACAGAGACTGAATTAAAGATGTATGAAATTATAGAATTCCCCCCAAAAAACAACAGAAAATCTGGGGCAGTGAGAAATAAGATTAAAAAAAAAAATAAAAAATTGCTATAGCTGCTTGAAAGCCTCTTCAGCACATATTCATATGTAGATTACATCAGATTAGGATTCATGTGGCAGGGGCTGAATTAGTGTATTACTGCTTTTGATAATGAAAGAAATAAAAAATGCTGATGGAAAGCATCTTGCTTTCATTTTAGAACAGCAACTCTTTCTAGATTCATGAGGTTCTGTATACAGTGAAGACAGGATAGCTTGCAAGATTTCCAGCTCTGTAGGAGAGCATTTTTACAGGTAAAACTGAAATAAGTGTGCTATCAAGAGACCTGTGCCTGCCTCACTTCAATACTCGTTTGTACAGAAGGTAACTTTCAGCATGACTAGAAATAGTAGGTAATGCTATTAAGAAATAGTTTATCTTGTTTATCTGCATGCAGTCCTTTAAGAGTTTTAAAGGAGAAGGTTATTAAATGTGAAGTTCATTCACTGATGATACATTTTGCTTTTGAGCATCAACAATGTCACAGTTTGCTATGCTCTTTAATCCATAAAAATCTGACTTCTTTCAGCATGTATTGATGACATCTGCAGGAGCACATACAGTATCATGTTCACTGAGCCCTAAGAGCCACGGGTTATGTCGAGTGCTTTAGAGATTGACCTTCATAGGTTTATGATAAGATGATGCAAGATTTTTCAGGAAGAATAAAATCATATTAATACAGAGATAAGATGCAGAAGCATTCACTGTGATAAGATAAAGTGAGTTGATTGTGTTGGAGCATAAAGGTTGAAGGAGAACAGAAATCTGTTCAGTCATAACACTAGTGTTCAAAATGGATACTGCTGCGTGCATAGCAAGACTCAGATTTTTTCAGTTACCACCATTTTATAAATGTTTTTTGATTGTTTATGACCTACCTGAAGTAGAAGGATGCAACCCTATTCTGTCCAAGTTGTTCAGCTGGTCCTAATGAAGCGTAGTAAAGCACCTTCAGAAATGCATTATTTTAAGCCAACTATGTTTAAATCCATTTCATTTGTGTGAAAAATGATATCTCATTTGTAAAAAGGGCTATTTCTTGATTGATTAGCATATTTGGGAAATATTTGGAAAAGGTAAATCAGGAGGATAGTCACAGTCTGTTTCATGTAAAAAGCCAAGGCTGCTTCTAAGCATTCAGGTGTTGTGACTACTGCCATTCAATTTCCTCCTTCCCCCAGTCCCACCACTGTATCCCCTTGAAAATATCAGATGTAAAGTTTAAAGAAAACCTAGTTTTTCTAAGCAAAGTAGTGCTCTTACAATGGAGACATAACCTTATTAAAGGTGAGCCTACTTTCTTGCTTAGTCTCTTTAATTGTGTGAATTGGTCATGATTTCTTCGTATTTATCTTCGTAAACTTCAAAGCCTCCTAATTTAGTTATGTGTTTAGGTCTGTATTTACTGACTTGAAGGTTTGAGCCTGGACAGAACTTTCTTTTTAAAATCTCTAGTTTTAACTGCAGTTTCCATATCTGATAGTTCCCATATCTGATAAAATAGCAATGTTTTTGTTGCTAAAAATGATCTAGAGCAGAGGAGACTATATGGGTATGGGGAATGTTGTTTCTGGTTTTGCAGCTTGTACGTGCTGTTCGCATTTGTTACACAAATGAGGGGTAACTCAGGAATGTTTGCAAAGGCTACTTCCAAGGCAGGAAGGCTAATAAGTACCTTTACTTAGGTCAGCCTGTTTCATGGGAAAAAAATCTGATCCTTTTTAGATAGTCTCCTACCTGTCTTCATCTGTATTAGTACTAATCCTATCCATACCCCATCTCAGCTTACCCAGTTGGAATATATATGTCTGCTGGTGTTCCTAACCTAATACTTTTTCTGTTTTAAATCTCTTCTATGTACAGTCTTAGTGAGCAATTACACTTGTACATTTTTATTGGTTAAATATTTTCTTTTTAGAAGAGGAACAGTGAGAAATCTAACAAGATCAGAGCCTCCTTAAACTTTGTTTTCTATTAACAGTAGTTGTATTCTTCAAGGAGTGAATATCAGCCTTTCTGAATGGAATTAAGTTCAGGTTTGGGTTTGGTTTTTTTTTTACCGCTTTTATAGTTCTTCAGTTTGGTGTGGATCCTTCCTGGCTAATTATGCTGCATAATGGCTGGAATTTTCTTTTAGAAGGTCCTAAATCAGTTCTGCTGAAAAAGGATTCTAGCCACCTGGTGTAAGTTTCTCACAAAAGCCTAAGGTAGTCGGGAGTCCTCTTTCAAACATTCCTAAACAAATGGAGTTGAAATTCAGGTAGTGATCGCTTTTGTCAAAACAAACCACAATTAAATATATTAATTTATAATTTTAAGAATACTTCTTAAATAGATTCTCTTGTTCTGTTCTTTTAGGGGTGTGTTAGGTGTAGCCCTTGTACGGCTGAAAGCAGAACTTGCACTTGTCAGAATTTCGTCTTCTGAAGGACTTGCCTCACAACTAGGCTGTATAACTGTGTTTAAAAAAATATGTTAATATCTTAAAAGGCTGAAGGAAATGAAACTTGCTAAAATGTATGCCTATTTTATACCATGATGCTGTTGATAAGTGGTTGCAATGAAGATAATTGCAAGCAATACGTTTTGTTTTGGCTTTTTTT